GTTACATACTTTTGCACGAATACAATATACCCTTTTACTCTACGAGTAACGGGTATAACAACAAGTGCAGCTTGCTTAGCCAGTTGGCCCAAAGGGGTTGGAAGCGGGGGAGGAAAGGGTAAGACACGGAGGGTATCTGTACAGCCAATTTGGCTATCAATCTAGATCTGGCGATTTTAAAAAAGGAGCTACAAAAACAGAAGCTTTTGATATTGTTCATCCTACATAGAGTATGTATTTTGTAAAAATTCCTAAAAGAAAAAAAAATGCACTTCTTTTTGTGGGCTGAGGTAGGTAAAGTACTTTGTCTCCATTACTTGAAGAACTCTTTAGATAATGAAGTCATAGCTTAGTAAAGTTACTCACAAAGCATATTTGCCCGTTGATTTTAAAACTTGTCATTAAAGTTTATGAAATGCTGGAACCGCTAATAAATCTTAACAAGACCCTCGTAATTTGTAATTATTTTTATTTAGTTTATTTTTAAACATTTTAATGTACTTTAAATCCGACTTAATAAATTTCACAATGAGTACAATATTTATGTTTTGAATAAATTCTGGTTTAGCTTTTTCGACTTCAAAGTCTTGGCTGCACTGGAGGGCATTCGTGCTGTTTGTGCAGTGGCAGCACGTCCCAACCGACATCGACAAGCTGCACTGAGCGAAAATATCAGTTAGCGGGGCAGCGCTGGAAGGGGAGCACTCAAAATGGGCACTTTCGGTCGCAATAACCACGACATTTACGATTATTTTACGGCCACTAAAAATCAAAAGTGTAATTTACGGAACCAAACCAAACTGAACCGAGACGAACAATGAGACGGAGACAGGGACGGCAACACGACCGGCGAAAGAGACGGAAAGTGTCGACTGAGGAGCGATGGAACCGTATCTGTATCGGTGTTGCATCAGCTTAGATGAAGTTGAGTCCGGGGAAATGGGGAGCAGGATTTCGGGGCGGTGCAGAGGTCAGTGTGGCGTGGGTGGTGCTTCAAATCTCCACGGGGAGCACCAAAACAATGCCACTTCACAATGACTTCCTGCATCGTGAACTGTGGCACACAAAAAAAGTATTTTTTTAAAAGGCATTTTTGGATAACTAATTACCAAGTCATTTAATAATATTTTTCTTATTTTCGGTCCAAATAGGTGAAATATAAAATAATTGTTGAATAATCATGATTAGGATCGCTTAAAAAAGTATAAATAAATTGTATAGAATATGGAGACTTATTTTTAAAGAACTCGTATAAAGAATAAAAAAGTATGAATTAAATAAAGTGTTTTTTAATATTTTTTAGAGGTTGAGGCTAACAAACTATTTCGGGTTAGACACAAGTTCTTCAAGAAATCCTTTATTCTGATATTTTAATCCACTATGCAGAGGAGTTGAGCCCTGAAGTTGGCTCGAGTTTCGAATGAAGAGTGCCGAAGCAGGGAGGAAGTGCTGTGAAGAAAACCAGTTGATTCCTAACTGGATGGACATTGCCGGCAGCCAAATGAAAAGCAGTCTTTGCCTCCTTGGGTTCCTTTCTCTGCACTTGCTGGCTGTCTCTGTTATGGCTTGAGTCTTGATTTTTCTTTATTTTTCCTTATTTTTCTGGCCATCACATGTGCAACTCGAAGCCAACAACTCCAGTTCGGAGCCCTCTTCCGCCCACCTCCCCTGATTGCGATTGGTGTTCTGCTTTAGCCGTTTTAGCGGATGGCGATGGCTGGATGATGCTGCGAATGTCGAAAGCGCATCGCGTTGAAAGATGATTTTCATGTTTTCCCCCTCAACGTCCCCTGGATTCCCCCTGTTTTCGAGCCGGAATCGTGGCCCTAACGATGCTCAAAGTAATTTTGTTGTCTTAACCGCGTTTACTGACATCTTGATGCTTTGATTGCTCCGATTTTGAATGGAATCGTTTGCGCTGCAACACCCGCACTTGGCTTTATGCGCCATTGCCATTATCGTCTTGGCAAGTCGGGGAAATTGAATTGAAGTCTTTGATTGGCAATATGCTCCGTTGACCCCTTAACAAGTTGCCAGTCGATCGTTAACCGGAGCGGCAAAATGCGGAGAGAGCCAATATAGAGAAAACCGGGAAACGGCCGAGTTAGAACTGGCCAACTTAATTGGAAAATGTAATACGATGGTTCGATGAAGAGTATTTTAGTCCTTCTAGATTCTTCCAAAAACAAAATAGGTAGGAGCAAGCTAACAAATGTAATGTACTAAAGGCCGATTTCTCGTCCTTAGTTTAACATTAGGATAAGAAAATGAGTTTCGGTAAAACCGTTTTAGATATATCTATAGGAATGATAAGTATATTAAGTATATTTTTATTGTACAAATTTAGAATATTAAAATATTTAATATGTTACTTTCTCTCTATCTTAAGGTCCAGTATTATACCAACCCCAAAAACCGCATTAAACAAAAAACTTCCTTTTGACGGATTTTTGGTCTACGAAACCTATATGTTGAATACTAAAAGAATAAAGAAATTACAGGACTGGGACTTTAAGAACATTTATTACATATTAAAATTTAAAATAAAAAAACGTAAAAAGCTAACACCATTTTTTTTATATTAACCAATTAACGGAAAACCCAATACATTTTTTAATACCTCTACCAGTCAAAACATAACATTAAATGTTAACATATGTTACGTAACAGAAAAACTTCAAAGGAGTAACAGTGGCTCTCAAACTGGGCAGTCAAGCTGCCTCCCAAACTATGGTGACAGAACCCATAGATGGCGCATGCAAAACAGTGCTGCCATCTGGCGAAAATCTTGCGCAACTCCGTCCCTTTTTCCGTTAATTTTCAATTGGAGTAAATGCTAGCAGATAGCTTCTTAATCGGCTGTTTTCTCAATTTATTATTGTACTTTTATTCACTGGCTTCTATTTGAAGATTTTTTCGATATTTTCTTTTTTTTCTGCTAACTTTCTGCTTATTTTTCGTCCAGCAGTTGTTTTTTGGTCTTCTTGCACGAAATCGCTCATCCGCCCCCTTAAAGCGACGTCTGCGCCGCAGCGAGTCGAAACTGGAAATGTGGCGCGGTGGTTGAACGAGCCAGAAAAAATCCAGCATTTCATCACCACCACCAGCATGAAAATGGGCTTGGCCTTTTCGTTTGAGTGAGTATTTCGAGGAGCTCATTCTCCTCAATTCTCAATGCTCCTCTCTCTTTTTTTCTTGCTGTTTTGATAGCCGTCGGCTCTAAAAGTCAAAAAATTACAGAACATAGGGAATGTCTTGAAATGTTGCTGGTAAATTTTGTAGTTTTTATGATTGTCTGTTTTTAATTTTTTTTTAAATTGTTTTCAAGAAATTCATCTTCCTAATCATTAAAGAATTACGTTATCAAACTCAGTAGTTCAATTACAGCAGCATTAATTTTCCAAACCATTTGGAAAAAGAAGATTACAATACCTCTGAAACAAATATCAACATTGTTAAAAACTCATCACATTTGTACATAAACTGATAGATTTGATGGAGGAACTTATAATTTTTAAAGGAAATATGTTAATATATTACTGTAATGGAAAATATCAAGATTCCTATTAGGTACCATCTTGAATTTCAACAAGATTAATATTTGAAAAAAAAATCCTCTGACCTTGGATAATTTGTATTTTTAATAAACAAAACCACAGTAGTAAAAGTAAAAATAAAGATATAAATACCTACAAAAATATAGATATTATTCAAGAGTGGTTAGCAGATGTTGCGCTTGAGTATTCATCACATTCGTCGTCTCGTTTGCGTTGCAACTTTGCTTTCAGGTTTGCGGCACAACTTAATTGAATTCATAGAGCGTGTTGGCACACCCGTACAGTGAACACCGGGCGACGGGAACGGTAGCCGCCTGACGAGTTCATAAAGTGTGATGTATGAAATGTGTGTGAGTTGGCCGTGGACATCTTTGCGATAGCTTCAAAAACGTTTTATTTGAATTTAATTCAAAGTGTTTCTAATTTGCCCGGGGCATTGATAATTTCGCAGGAATAAAGTCGTCACCGGGAATGGACCGTGGAGTAATTTCATTTCACGCTGCCTCAAATGAAGTGCGCAATTCTGACAGCCCGAGTTGGGGGGAGAAAAAATCGCTCGACCTTGCCACCATCGAAGTTGGCCCATTGTGCCCGAGAGCCCAAAGAGCCCAGAGAGCCAGTTGAATCAAGTTTCGGTACAAATTTGTACAATTTCATATTTACCCAGCACCACAAAACGACGCCAGACAATGGGAAACTGCTTAAAGATAGCTGCCTGGGCACAAAGCACCCCAGGAGCGTCTCGTGGTGATTATGGACTCGGGTTGAAAGCCGGGTAAAAAAGGGCAGATAAGTTATTGTTGCAGCAGCAACCCCTGCAAAGGGATCTGTAAAAATAGGACAAGATATAGATACACTCGCACTCGCACACACATTCATCTATTCATCTGCCCAGAGGGTGCGTCGTAAAAATGAGTTACGAGTCCTGCCATTTTAAATTAAAATAGCAGGCTGCCTCCCTCCATTGTGGCAGCAAGATGGAAGAGGCAAAAGGAAGGAAAAAGGTCAAAGGCCACGCATTTCCACCCTGAAAGTCCCATCCAGCGGACAAAATGGTCATGTTGACAGAAGTAAATCTCTTGAATTATCGCATTAGATGCCGCATTCTCACAGATAGATTCCCGGCCCGATGAAGCCATGTCGTAAATAATCGAGATCGGAACGTCGCCGGGGTATTATAAAGGATTTTCGGGCATCCCTGTTGATTTAAGCATTCTTCCCGTGTTTGTTTGGCATTCAAAAGGGTTCAAGACCATTGCCACCCCATTTTCAAAGACTCTCCATGCCACCAACATTGATCGACATTTTACTGTTCTCATTTAAATTCAACGGCTATTAGTAACTTTAAACTTGAAAGAAAATATCGGAAAAAACTACTTTTGCCGATAAAGATTTTAGAAGAATTACTTCACATTTTCAAACCATTAAAGAAATTCCTTAAAGAATTTTTTATTCCGCAACTGGAGGGCTAAAAATTGCCCAAACATTTTAGGAAACAATGTCCCAAGTCATAGAAAATTGTTCCTAAAAGTTTCAGACAATTTTTAAGTGATGAGTAAAATTCCAACATGATTTAATTTTCCTAGGATGATTAACAGCTGAGTTTCCCACTTCCCTCACTGAACCACCGTGATGGTAAAATACTCTTCGGGGGCCACCAGATACTCGAACTTGCGAGTGGCCAGGCGCATGAAGCACAGTTTGTTGGACGGGTCAATGTCCCGAATGACACTTTGGCAGGTACTGACCAGGAGTCCGTTCAAGTGCTTCACGATCGCCTGGGCACTTGTATTATCGAAGGACGTTTCGGCCACGGCATTGGCCATATTGTCGGAGATCACGTATCCCGTAGTGTGATCCGATAGAATTCGATCCACCATAGTTCCATTCTGGTGGATCACCTGCTCCAGAATACGATTCATTATCCTCCGTGTGGTGTGTGTGGTAAATAGTAAATTGTTATATATTTGTTTTGCGACTGGGAGTAATTTGAGTGTTCTATGTGATTTGTTTGGAGGAACTGAATGGTTTTTGGAGATCAAACAGAAAACTAAACATTTGATTTGACTTAAAGGGCTCAGGCTCTACGATTTTCCAAATAACCAAATGTTATAATTATAAAGAAATAAAAATATAATTTATTTTAAAGTGTTGTTAATTCTTTTTTTAATGGTTTGACCTTTTTACAGTTTTCAATAAATTTGTTAAGTCTGAATAAAAATGGAAAATGTTCTCATTAAATTTACTTAATTTCAAATACATCCATTAGGCCCCGTATAAAATGAAATTACCTTCTCCCAATTTTCCTTTACCCACTTTTAAATTACCTCCTCCTCCATTTACAATATTTTTATATCGGATTTATAATTACACCGCACGCCTATCGCGTTGATTAAATAAGTGTTGGCCGCTCGTTGCAACATCGCAACAGATGGCAGTGGGCTCGAATAAATTAAACTTATCGGAGTTTTCTTATCTCGCTGCGGCCCTTGATCCCCACTCCCCCTGGAATCCCCAGTGCCATTGAACTTGCCCTCCAATTGGATCTGCCCGAGTCGCCGAGGTCAGTTCGAATTACTGCACACAAAAACTGATATTCCCGCCCAAGTTCAAGTGGTCGCGTGGCTTCTACGAGTCGCTCTCCTCCCGCAGGCAGCCTCATCAAGCCGTTTTCATTTAATTTTCATGCACATTTAATGGCGTCTGTTATTGGCTTTTAACGAGATTTCCACTCCAACCCGACGATTTTTTTTAGGTATCCGTATAATTGACTTTTTGACTTTGAACCGCTTTGTCGCAGGTCGTTGACTCGCCGGCGGCGACTTAAACTAATTCCCATTCGCTGGCTTAGCTTAAAGCCCCCTTTGGACTGCGATAAATCAGAGCAGGCAGAGTTGCAAATTCTGACTACTAGCGGGTGTTTAGTATTTAGTACAACACTCATCTGAACCAGGCTCATCTGTATTCAGGGCCCCTCGTCGCCTTAACTTCTCTTCTCGGCAGGGAGAAGTGCTTGTCGGACAAGTCCAGAGAGTACATATGGGAGTGCATGTCCCTCCGGTTCCCCAGATATATCCCCATATCCCCAGATCGACCCAAAATGGCCACTCGAGCGCCCACAACGGCCATAAAACACTTTCGGACATGCTGTTGGCCCAACAAACAACTCTCAACTCCGCTCCGTTCTTTTCTCTCCGAGCTGGTCAATAAAATGTGCATAAATTCCGATGCCATTCAAAAGGCAACCCGAAACTGGCCGTCGAGGAGAAGGCTTTGTATTTAACGGGTCAGCAAAGTACAGTGGAAATATGGTATTTCTTGCCAGTCTTACAACTGAACTTGTCCGTTTTCAATGCAACTTTAATCTCGAATTTTATTAGGATAATTCAGAATATCAGCCTTAAATGGCTTCTTATATAAAGTACACAATTTTAAAAAGATTTTTCTTATATTCCTAAAAATAAATCTGTAAAATATTCGCAGTTTTATAAACACATTACAATTAATTTTTATTTCAATTATACTGATCTTAACTAAAATTTCTTGAAACTTATATTAAACTTTAATGTATTGGGATTACAAATTTTTCAATAAATTTAATTGCTAATATATACAATTATTTATTACCATACCTTTAGATTTATAAATATTCTTCCCGCCCATTGTAAAGATTTAAATTTTGCCCAATTCTACTGCCCCTTTAGTGATGATTCATGGCCGCCAAATGCAAAACGGGAGATTTGTGGCCTGGAAAATGAATGGTGTACAAGTTCGGGCTCGGTGCCATTTCAAACTATGCAAAATGGGAGCTCATAAATCCCCTGAGCCCAAGTCGGACTATTTCGCTATCTGTGGGCCCGATTTTAGTTCGGATTTTGGGCTTTTGGTTTTGGCCCCGGGGGCGGGATTAGGCGGTAAACGCTTATCCGAAAGCGAGATACTCGGCGTTATGCCGGCGCCATAACTCATTTAATTAGATGACTATCGCTGTTTAGGCATAATTCATCCACCAACAGACGAAACTTTCCCAACCCCACTGACTGCCGAAGAGGTCGAAAGGTCGGGGCGGCATCAAAAACGATAAATAACACAGAAAAAGAATGAAACTTTCGAAATGGAAACTTCCTTCGTTAATTAGAAAAACCAACAGACCAACTAGCAAACTGACATTAAAAAACACACAAGGACAGGGGAAAAAGTAGGACATAGAGTGGCAATTTGAAAACACTTTCCCTGTCTCCGCTCCTGAAAAAATGCAAATGAGCTGCCCGAGCTGGAATTCAGGCCTTTTGCTGGCCGCTCCGGTCATTGGCCGGCGGTCAGTTGTGGAACGGTGTATCTGGGTATCTGAGTATCTGGTTTTTCGCCCTCTGTTTTGGCCCTTTCATTTGTGCCACTCGAGCGGCGAAAGGGACACGTCGCACACACATGGCACAAATTGGCCGAGGGCTTCGCCTTTTGTCCAACTGGCCCAAATATATCCTTCAGCCCACTGACACACTTCCCCGCTTCGCATATCACCAGCATCTGAACCCCAGCTTTGATTACGGACTCCGAGACTCCGAAGCTCCCATAAATAATGCGCAACATACATATAATACATGGTACATGTACATGTGGACTCACCTCAACGCGTTCTGAATTTCTAATGTGCCCAAAAATGGAGAACAGTCCTCGAGAGTTGTGTAATATACGGTATCCTGGGGTTGGAAATCGGACGGCAGGACAATTTATTTGCTGTGTGAGTGCTCTGTAATTGAAAATTAAATGGAAAGTGTTAAATGGGCTCAGGGATAACTTGAGATAGTCTGCTAAAAGGATTTATCCCTTACAATAGGTAAGTGAACTAAAATCACATTTTCAAGTATATTTATAGGTAATTGAAAAGACCAATTTAATATTCATACAGTACCAAATACACTCATACTAAACATGACGATATTTTATCTCCCCAAATAAATCGACTCAAAACACCACAACCCACTTAAACTCCACATTAAGTGAAGGATTATTCATTAACACATGATTTCATTATTTTTAACGACAAATTGTCGAATCGACTCATTTCAGATGCGCAGGGAACAATAAAAACTGTGAAAATATTGCAGCCCCAAATTCGTAATCCCATTGACAAATGGCATTATTTGCTTTTCGAATTTATGTGATGGTCTTCTAAATAACAACCAATTTAAGGTATTTATCTTTAAGAAGCGTAATTTCGTATGCTAATTCGCGGGGCAGTTGGCTTGCTAATTTATGAAAGCGGCGGTCTTGGCCACAACCGATCTGGTTTCGACTAACAGACGAAAAAAAAACATACTTGCCGGACGAACAATGCAAATTTTTATTAGCCATGAAGTCGGCCATAAAAGCCATTTCGAACCGCTCGAAATCGTTGCTCTCCGCTCGAGTACAAATTGTTAGAAGAGGTGCAAAACGGAGCGATTAAATATATCTCCCGGGCTAATTTTAATAACTTCATGAGACTCGTTTTCAGCGCAAATAAATTCGAAAATTTAACAAAAAAACAAACAAAGTATTGAATATCAAGTTTCGTTTGATGGCAATCTTAGAACTCGGAGCAAAATCGCTTGCCAAAACAAAGGAATTGAATTCATTTAGTTTTATGGACCCAAAAAGGTGGGAGATGCTGGAAAAAAAATTACATCGGGCCAACAACAAAGACGCACACAAACACACAAAGAGGCCATTGAAAAGATAAATTTCTTAATTTAAATTCAGAGTCAGAGTGAATCGAGTTTTGTTCGTTTCCACCCTCGAACGATTTTCATTTCCGTTACAAATGCTTTTCAATTTCGCCCGAGCCAAATTCAATTTTCAAACGTTTTATTTCGACAACGTTTTGATTTAGTCGCGCTCGCTTTGAATATTTTACGAATTGCTTTGGATTCTCTGAATCGAAATTGGGCCTGGGCCACCATTTTCTGGCTTTGTGCGTTTGTGTAACTATGGAATATTTATTATTTAAATTTCTCGACAGCGAGTCGGTGGCCCTAAATCATGCGACAGGCTCATTCAAAAACAACCAACTCTCGCGCCCAAAAACACTCGCATATTCGTAAGTTGTGTTGTTTTTTCGACGCATGATTTAGGTGCAGTCATAAATTCAATTTTAAGCTTTTTGGTATTTCATTTCGGTCTGGCCGGGGATCTGGTTTTGGGCCCCGACTTTCTGTGCTACGGTACGGGTTGTGGATGGGGCTTGGTGTTCGGTTTGGGGTCCGGGGTTCGGGGTTCGGGTCCGAGGCCAAGATAAACACTTGACAACGTGCTAAGGCCGGCACTGGGAACGCGATAAGCGCATAAATAAAGCCCCCCGTAATAAATTCAGCGTCACATTTGACGCCCCGCCATCGCATCTGTGGACCCATGGGCGTCTCGGGGGGCTTTTCGGGGGGATACCAGTGACACTTGGTCCTCCAGAGCCACTCTCGACCTCTTGGCTTAACTGTACCATGCATCATCCGTAGCACTTTGAAGGCACCATTAAGCTCTTCTCCTCGCTTTTTTTCAAGACAACTTCTGGCGACGTTTATGTGGCGTTTTAGGATGCTCTTTGAATATTTATAGGGTAAAGCTAAGACAATGTCGTATATCTTTGTGATTGCATAGTTTAGGTTGCAATAAGTTATATGATTAAATAAATTATATTAATTCAAAAGGGAAAAAAGCGCAAAGATGCCTATAAATTTCCTGTGAATAAATGGTTTTATTAGGTTAATAATATAACTGTACGACAGACTTAAATTCTGTTAAATAAAAGAAATCTCAAAATGACCAAAACAATTCGTATTGCGGAACTCCCTTCCAATTTCTTTCAGAGTTCGGACCGTAAAGGATCGGCCATCTGGTCAGCTGTTGTCCGAGTGCTTTTACCGTGTCATAATTGCCCTGCAGGACTTTGGGAAATATATGACATCTGCGTTGATGTAACAAAGGGCTAAGGGGAAGAGAAAGGAAGGGATAAAAATCCTGCAGCCAGCTATTCACGGCAATCAAACAGCGCGGCACACGCGG